GCTCACTCATTGGCTGAAATGATACCATTGGTGCTCACTCATTGGCCAAGATAATACCATTGGGGAAATATTATTGTGGACAAGATGATATCATTGGTGCTCACTCATTGGCTGAAATGATACCATTGGTGCTCACTCATTGGCCAAGATAATACCATTGGGGAAATATTATTGTGGACAAGATGATATCATTGGTGCTCACTCATTGGCTGAAATGATACCATTGGTGCTCGCTCATTGGCCAAGATGATACCATTGGGGAAATATTATTGGACAAGATGATACCATTGGTGCTCACTCATTGGCCAAGATGATACCATTGGTGCCTACTCATTGGCTAAGATAATACCATTGGGTCTCACTCATTGACCAAAATGATACCATTGGTGCTCATCACACTTCACACTGTGATTGGCAGAATTAACAGTATTCAAAGACACTTCACACTGTGATTGGCAGAATTAACAGTATTCAAAGACACTTCACACTGTGATTGGCAGAATTAACAGTATTCAAAGACACTTCACACTGTGATTGGCAGAATTAACAGTATTCAAAGACACTTCACACTGTGATTGGCAGAATTAACAGTATTCAAAGACACTTCACACTGTGATTGGCAGAATTAACAGTATTCAAAGACACTTCACACTGTGATTGGCAGAATTAACAGTATTCAAAGACACTTCACACTGTGATTGGCAGAATTAACAGTATTCAAAGACACTTCACACTGTGATTGGCAGAATTAACAGTATTCAAAGAACTTCACACTGTGATTGGCAGAATTAACAGTATTCAAAGACACTTCACACTGTGATTGGCAGAATTAACAGTATTCAAAGACACTTCACACTGTGATTGGCAGAATTAACAGTATTCAAAGACACTTCACACTGTGATTGGCAGAATTAACAGTATTCAAAGACACTTCACACTGTGATTGGCAGAATTAACAGTATTCAAAGACACTTCACACTGTGATTGGCAGAATTAACAGTATTCAAAGACACTTCACACTGTGATTGGCAGAATTAACAGTATTCAAAGACACTTCACACTGTGATTGGCAGAATTAACAGTATTCAAAGACACTTCACACTGTGATTGGCAGAATTAACAGTATTCAAAGACACTTCACACTGTGATTGGCAGAATTAACAGTATTCAAAGACACTTCACACTGTGATTGGCAGAATTAACAGTATTCAAAAACACTTCACACTGTGATTGGCAGAATTAACAGTATTCAAAGACACTTCACACTGTGATTGGCAGAATTAACAGTATTCAAAGACACTTCACACTGTGATTGGCAGAATTAACAGTTGGAATATATGCACAGCTTGACTCATACAGTACAGGGTGGGTGTAACTTAACTTCCATGCTGGCTTTCCTTTTCATATAAATGTTTTTAGTATCTGTGTAACCATTGAGCCAAAATGATACCATTGGTGCTCACTCATTGGCTGAAATGATACCATTGGTGCTCACTCATTGGCCAAGATAATACCATTGGGGAAATATTATTGGACAAGATGATACCATTGGTGCTCACTCATTGGCTGAAATGATACCATTGGTGCTCACTCATTGGCCAAGATAATACCATTGGGGAAATATTATTGTGGACAAGATGATATCATTGGT